AATTTTATTTTATTATTGATTTTTTAATCTTTTTATTTTGATGAATAATACCTTTTCGATAAAAAAAAAGAGCACAAAAGGCCATGGAAATTGCAAGAGTTTTTGGATCTACTCAAACATGTAAATGTTATAATGACAATTTTATTACTTGTAAAATTATTTAATTAATAACTTAATTATCTTTTTAGCTCTTTTTACTCATGCTGATACCAAACCTACCGAAGAAGGAAATACTCTTGTAGTTACTGTTTCATCAGATCGTGGTCTTTGTGGTGGGATTCATAGTAGTGTTTCAAAGGCTTCTCGTAAATTGATTGATGAAAATTCTAGTTCTCAATTGGTGGTTCTTGGTGATAAAGCCAAAGCACAACTTGCACGAACAGTTCGTGATAATATTAAACTTTCATTCAATCAAATTGGTAAAGCTGTTCCTACGTATGCTGAAGCATGTGCTATAGCTGACACCGTCTTAAAGGAGAAGGTAGAATTTGATCAGGCAGTTATTGTTTATAATCATTTCAGATCAGTAATTGCTTACGAAGCTGAAACAATTCCAGCTTATTCAGAAGCAACCTTTGTTAAATCAGGTATATATAATATATAATATATAATATTTATATATAATTGATTGGATATAATGATAATTATTATTTATTATCATTATTTATTATTATAGGCAATTTTGCAACATATGAAATTGAAGATGATGTTTTGGAAAACCTTCAAGAATTTGCATTTGCAAATTCAATTTATTGGGGACTTGTTGAAGGACATGCAGCTGAAATGGCTGCAAAACGAACTGCTATGGAGAATGCTACTAAAAATGCTGGTGAAATGATTGACAGATTAACATTAACATATAATCGTGGTCGTCAAGCTGTAATTACTAATGAATTAAGTAGTTATCTTTTTCCTTTACTTTTATTAAATTTGTTATTATTAAATTTGTTACTGTAAACTAATTAAATTTTTTTTATAGTTGATATTATTACTGGAGCTTCTGCACTTTAAAAAAGGAACATTTTATAAAATTAATAATAATAAAGTTTTTAAATTAATAATAATAATAGTAGAATAAATTGCTTATTTCAAATTAAGAAAAAAATTTTTTTTTGGCACATTTCTTCATACTTGGAGTGTGGGAACCTGAAAGATCTTTAGGAAGCCATTAATTTGCCATAAAAAAGCAAAAACGCTAGAAGAGATAAAAATTTATCATTTTGTTTTCACGGCTCATTTTTAATGAGCAAAGCTAGAATGAATTCTGAAATTATTATTTTTTTAATTCAATGAGATAAAGCACAATATAACACTTTGACCTTTATTTATTAAGTGATGTTTATTTGTGATCTAATTATTTTTTTGGAATGACCTACTTGTTGAGGATTGCTCACCAATTGACATTATAGCCTTTGTTAAATTAGTGCTATTTTGAAAATAAAGAAAGATTTCAGTTAATTCTCTGGGAAGAACAGAACAACCGAATTTTATCTATTTAGAGGGAACAACAAAATGAGGATTTTAGTCTAAAGTTACTTGCAAGTTGGCTCATACAGAGCTTTATTTTAGTCACAAAAATACAACGTATACATGTCCCATTTTCAAATCTTGATTTGTTTGATGTGTACACAGTCGAGTATTTTTATCAAATTTGGAAACCGAGTCTAGAAAAAATTGGGAGCATCTTTGTCGATCAGTTCATATGAGTTAATATATGTTTTAAGAACCCTCCAAAATCCACGCAATTTTACATGCTAGTTTTTTTTTTTTTCTTACATATAGGAGAATTATTGACCTAAAATCTCTTTTTGACAACTATTACATATAAAGCAAATATCCCAAAAAACTAGTTGAATATACTGTTTTCCAAAATTATCGTTATTATTATTATTTGTTTATAATAAATAAATAAATAATTAAATAATTATATATATATATATAAATGCGAATATAAAATATTAAAACGAGACTATATGGGTCACATGTCCGACACACAATTGGACGGCAAAATCCGTTTTATTTATATTTATATTAATATAATAATAAAGCTTTGCTCATAGATTTTGACAACTTAAAAGTTTCGCCCATAGTTTAGGATTTCTCCCATAGTTTAGGCAATTTTTAAGTTTCGTCACTAGTTTAAGAGCCTAAATTCCTTAATTTCTGTGGGCGAAACGATTTCGGATTTACTAAAATAATTTCAGCTACCATCATTAATAATTCATGATGTATGAATTAACTCAAGCTTTAACCATTTATTGCATGAAACTCTTTAATTTTTGATTTTTAATGTAATATCAATGTTTAATAAGCCAAAAAGGTTTTGTTAGATAATAAATTGTCATGAAACATGCTTGCACCACGAATTGAGTCTTGCATCTTGATCACGAATTACATATTGCGTCAGTTGTATAGAATTATGTTAGGTGGTGTTGGGACTTTTAATCGCAATTCAATAATTTTGACCTCAAGTAAAATTGTGCATGTCATAATAATACATCCACTTTTTATACAGAGGGTCAAATTTCATTTGTAGCTCCACAGATCACGCGTGAAAAAAAATAGAGTTTATTTTTGTGTGCTCTTTGAATTTTCATGATAGATCAATATCCTTATAATTTTTTCATATTATTAGTCAGTAATCAAAATAAAATTCACTACAAAATATGGATACATTTCTTTAGAATTAGCAGAATCACTATTATCCCTAAAAAAGAAATATTTAATTAATCATTAAGTTATTTATGTTTCAAATCAAATAGTTAATAATCTCTCACTCAATTTCATTATCTTCTAATTTTTTTTGTTTGGCTGCACAGAAATTTAACTCATGTCAATTTTAAAAAGACCAATTATTATTTTGGATGTATTACTGTGACACGCACTGTACTAGTACAGTTTTCAGGTTTTTCGGTTCGATACTTATTTGAACGCTGTTTTTTTATTTCTATCATTAGTAGAAAATAAAAGGTTAGACAATATAATATTAATATACGATTAAACTTTCAAGTGGACTGATTATAGTAGTGTTGATCTTACCAAATTAATAACTGGTGATCGATTTTTTTACTTTTGATAAGATTAAACGCTACTATAATTGGTATAAATCACAATTATTACATTGCATCAAGAAAATGATACAGTGAGGGAGGATTGGGTTTGAATTATTTCTACTATAACTAAAAAGCGAATTTTATTATTTTGTGGATCTCAAAATTTTAAATATTGTTCTTGGAATTACTCCATTGTAACTACATTTGTATCTTATACAATTATGTGAAACACCCATTAATATAAATAAATAAAACATTGTTATGGTACGGGTCATTCTCTAACACATCAAATGCCTTTAGAGCTAAATAGGGAAGTATTGAGATAAGATTTGATAGCTATTATCGAGACAATTTTAAAAAGATTTTACATAAACAAATGTTTCGAATTTGGAAATTTTTATATGTGACTTATAAAATCATACGATTTTTAAAAGCAAATAACAGTAAATTTTTTTAAATTACCTCGATAATGGATTGTAGGACTAGTCAATCAATAACTATCAAATATCGTCTCTATTTTTTTTCAATATTTCCCTATCTAGCTTTGAAGTTGGTCAACTTTTATTTGATGTGTTAGTGTGACCCCCACACTATACTTATTAATTCTTATTATATACTGTACATATTTATTAAATGAGTTGATTAAAATGGATGTCAATCTTCCAATCAATAAAAATGCCATATTTTACATTTATTATTATCTGTAAAGTCTTTCTTAAAAGACTCTCTCTCAAATAAGCCTCATAAGCATTCAAATTCGAATAGAAAATAAACATTGCTCTACTCTTACCTTTGCAATTTCTCAAAGTTGTAAAATATTAAAAAAATTGATATTGTAAGAAATTACCGCATTAAGGACTTTGCTCCTAACAAAATTTCATGGATATCGACCGCCACCAGATTTCACAAGTTTAAACAACAATATGTTCTTGGATTTACATCTAATAGTAAAAGTCTAATTGAAAATTATAATAAAAATATATATTTCTTTAATAGAGTGAAAGTTACTATTTAATTTCCTTCGCTTCTAGTAAAGTCCAAGAAAATTAATCCCACCTAGATGTTAAAAGTAGAAACTATATTTTTTTTCTATTTTACGCACAACTATTGAAGATGCCCCTAGACTAGTGTTGGATCCTAAATTATGGAATTCGCAACTGCGCGAAAGTTAAAAAGTTTCGCCATAAGTCGGAACTAGTTTTGAGTTTTGACGTTCCCTAGACAATGTGGAAATACCAAAAAAAATGAAAATGATCCATTTGATTATCGGGAATCTATTTACAGATATTGAATATTACTTCAATGCTCGAATCTTATATTCTTAGCATACGTAGAGCCATTACGCCTCAAGGATATGATAACGCAATTAAAATTTCGCATGGCCTGGGATTTATTAATTGCATAGCCTGTTAAAGCCTCTCGCTTGTCCGAAACCTACTAACTTGTAGATTTCCTCATCCGTAGAAAAAGTTTCTATAGTTATAAAAGTGTAAAGCACACTGATTGCATGTTTGTAGAAGGAAATTTTATTAAATCTGACACCTATTATCAATATCAGGTTTATTTTTTTGAAAATGATTTTTAAAAAAGTTCTATAAAACAATTTTCGGAATATCGATTTATTTATTATTTATTTATTTATTTATTTATTTATATATTTATTTATATTTATATATTAATATTTATTTATTTATTGATTTATTTATGGTATTATTATTACCGGGGCGATGCAATTATTTATTATGAATAACAAACATTGACGACAATAGTGAAGACAATAACAAGTCATGTTTTGTTTATTTTGATTCATCTAATACATAGAAAAATACACAATAATTTATATAAAAAATTACCAGGGCAGTTGCACGTGAAGAAAATACTCAAATCTGAGGTCATTCTGGCGCAAATTTATAATTTTACTTGCTTTTTTGCCAGTAATATAATTATTAATTATTATTAATATCATTATTTTCTCCTTCGTCATCATCCTTTTATACTAATCCATTTCTAAGTTGCTTCTATTGTTTTTTTTCCTAGGATCTGTACAAGTTTTTTACGTTGAAATCAGCAATTCCTGAAATGCATGGAAAAGAAAGTTGCCATTCTATTAAATGAAAACTCGGATTCTTTATTTGTTTGTTCTGTATCCTTTTATAGGAGTAGTTCTTTGTAGGTTGTTGTAATGAAGCAAAGCAGCCGATCAATAATCTATAAAAGAATTCATCTGTAAAGGCATGCATTTTATTTCAAATTTATCCTCACTGTAGTAGCATGCTCCATATAAGGTAAATATTCAAAGCCATGTATTTATTATTATTATTATGTAAAAACAGGGTCCAAATATGTACATGCGTCATGATTCCAATTTTGTGGCATAGACAAAAAGTGAAGTTACACGTTAATTACTATTATTTGCCTAGTTTGTCAACATTGACTACACAGTCTATATAAAATTCTTCATGCATTTTTATTTGCTCACCAATAAACTCTCTTTTATTATTAACTTTTATACCAAAAAAAAATTTTTGAAAACATCATGAAACATTATAAATACTAACTTTATTCTTTCATTTAAGACAAAAAGACTTTTGTTTCAAAAAAAAAAATTTATTTTATATTTTATTTATTCCCTCTAATCAAACTAATTAATAAATCAAAAATCAAAAATCAAAAATCAAAATCAAAAATCAAAAAATTAAAAATAATAAATAAATGTTTAACACAAAAAATTCGTTACTAGGAAAGAAAACAAGTAAATCTTCATCCAAAAAAGGAAACAGTTTAAGAAGAACTTTAACTCCTACCACAAAAAAGCAATATCAGAGGGACCTAGCTCAAACTGTGACTTTAGAAGAAGTTCACCTAATTGTTAAAAGATGTGCTGATAAAGTACGTGAAAGAGGTTAGTTAAGTTCTTTATTTTTATTCATTTATGTTTTATTAACAATTATTTATTTA